ATGAATAAACGATTTTCGTTTGAAGACATTTTTTTGACAGTGGAGAAAACCCAGGAGGGCCACGCCCATATTGACCCAATAACGTAACCGACCCCTTGCTTCTGAAGGTCGTAGAGACTTCAAAATAGGCTTAAACGAAGCCGCATATGCATGTTTATATAGGAGTTATTGAGCAACACATGGCCTAAAATCCATACTTTTCGAGAAATTCGCCAAAAACCATTTTGGGCGTGGTGCTGAGCCCATTTTCGATAGGATTGTGATAGAGTCTTTAGACAGGGTGCAAAAGAACCGCAATTAGCATATTAACATATGACTTACGAACAAACATATGCCTTAAAGTGCTTACTTTTTCAGTTATTGGCGAAAAACTGATTTTCGGTTCCAGAAATCATGCAAAACTATGGGTATCTGGTAAATTGGGCTATGAAGGCCCTAAAGGTTTTTGAATGTGTGCAAATTGTGCAGAATGGCCATGTTTATATACAACTTATGAAGCAACATGTACCCTAAATTACTTACTTTTCGAGTTATTCGGGGAAAAACATTGTATTATGTCCATTTTCTACCTGTAAAATACAGTCTCACGGGCTCCTCTGCGCGCGCAAGGGACTTCGTGACGTCATCGCCAAAATAATACAAACGCTATTTACACGCGTTAGAGAGCAGTTAGAGATTTAGGAATTTCGACTCGTTGCTTAGTTTACTATTTGTCACAATCTGTCAAAATATGAGGATAACTTTTTTTTCAGTTAACTGGTCCTTTAACATAATGGTCTCGATTTCGTATCGTGTGCATTTTGGAGGCGCTGTTTGGTTTCAGGCTTCAGTTAATCGTATTGAGATATATTGTTGGAACAATCTTTTCTTGGAAAAGCGCACAAAGCCACCATTTATTTGACAGATTGTTAAAAGCTCTTTTTAAAGCTGATCTTTAAATCCTCTCTGTTCTAGGAAACTTAACATTGTTGCTCTGTTTTTATTCCCCGGCCTCCTCGACACCACTTTACCATAAAAGCCCCACAATATTTACCGGTTGCAACACACACTGGTCAAATTAGCAGGATAGGTCTGGGCACTATAACAGGGTGATTGGATTAACCGGCCAGTCTGGACAGAGAGAGAGGGGGAGAGAGGGAGGGAGAGAGGGGTATAATGTATATCCCCCGGTGATATATTACAACTCCATTATAATATGTCCACAGCCAACAAAGGTACGCGGTATGTTGGGGACAAGTAGTACCATTAGGTGCAGTCCACTTCCTGAACTACACGCACTTCATGTGTGCACTTCATACCACATGTATATATAATGTACCTCTGCCCCTAATCCCTACACTTGAGCTAATGTTATACTCTTGCAAGTGAGGGAGAGGGAGCAAACATGTCTTTTTTTAAACACCTTTTAAAATCGGGAACTTTTTGATTATCAGGATTGATTTTAAACCCCCAGACCCCTTATTTGGGTAGTGTTCAAAGCTCCATTGTTAGTGGCCCGCTAGACCACGCGACAGTTGGCGGGACGACCGTCTTAATTATACTGATTTGAAAATATATAAATCCTCCCTCCCTCCCTCCCTCCCTCCCTCCCTCCCTCCCTCCCTCCCTCCCTCCCTCCCTCCCTCCCTCCCTCCCTCCCTCCCTCCCTCCCTCCCTCCCTCCCTCCCTCCCTCCCTCCCTCCCTCCCTCCCTCCCTCCCTCCCTCCCTCCCTCCCTCCCTCCCTCCCTCTCTCTCTCTCTCTCTCTCTGTTTCTGTCTGAGAATGTTCCACGTCATGCAGCATAATGTGCCCAGTCACTTTAACAGAGAGCTAGAGAGAGAGAGAGAGAGAGAGAGAGAGAGCAATCCTCCTCCTCCATTTGTATTACCGTATTTTAGTATGCATGTGTATGCGGAGTTATGCAATCCTTTACTCTTCTTACACGGAATTTACCGGTATTTTACTCTCCTGTGGAGGGGAATTAACCGCTATTTTACCCTTTTCTTCCCCTGCGCTAGTTTACACTAAATCATGCGCTGTTGTGTACAGTGAATAGTGATGTTACAACGATATAGGGATTAGAGAGGGTATTATTTACTCTGTGCTAAATATCAACGTGATATTTATTGTTTATTGGTTTTTTTGTTCAGTTTAAGATATTGTTTTTACTTAGTACTCTAATGCTTTGCTCTTTGTAGGATGTTATTTGCTCAGAAAGCTGCTGTGTTATTATTTGGTGGATCTAGCAGATTACCACAGCGTGTATACTCATTGTATTATATGGCTGCAACTAAGGGAGAGAGTGCTAGCTGCATGATATGCTGTAACATTTGTTGGCAATGTTCCAACTTTTGTTGTAGCAAGACTCGAGAGGTCGTTATATTGGCTGAGAACAGAGCATGATCACGATTACACTGTTTTGTAGTCGGCTGTGTTTCGTGGTATCTCATGTGTCTACTATGTGTTGTTTTTCACATTCCTCTTGTGTGATTGCGGGTACGTGTTAAAACACTCTTTAGGTCTCGTAATTTTAGTGTAACGATTATTTTCCAATTCCTTCGTTTTACACGATCTATTTAGGCTGGATTTTGCACTTTCAGACGGAATTATATTCTCCATCATGAAGCTCGTCACACCACGCTTGTTCAGACTAAAGACTCTTAAAAATTCCAGTTATTCCCATTATGAACGTGATATTTCACACCTAAACTCGATAATCTCATTCTTAAAAAGCGTGAGTTTCGTTTGTCAGTAATCCGATCCTCTCCCTAACGCAATAAGTAATATTGTTGACTAAGTAGAGATAGCATATTTGTTACACACCGCCTCCCTCCTAAATATACAGCGTGTATAATGTGTGATCATCATCATCATGTGCGCTGTAAAATTGCGCGTGTGTGTGTGTGTATGTGTGTGTGTGTGTGTGTGTGTGTGTGTGTGTGTGTGTGTGTGTGTGTGTGTGTGTGTGTGTGTGTGTGTGTGTGTGTGTGTGTGTGTGTGTGTGTGTGTGTGTGTGTGTGTGTGTGTGTGTGTGTGTGTGTGTGTGTGTGTGTGTGTGTGTGTGTGTGTGTGTGTGTGTGTGTGTGTGTGTGTGTGTGTGTGTGTGTGTGTGTGTGTGTGTGTGTGTGTGTGTGTGTGTGTGTGTGTGTGTGTGTGTGTGTGTGTGTGTGTGTGTGTGTGTGTGTGTGTGTGTGTGTGTGTGTGTGTGTGTGTGTGTGTGTGTGTGTAGCTTTTCTTTCTCTTACTCGACATTTCCTTCTCTTCAGAGCCTAGGAGGATAAATAATGCTAATATCACCAGAAATTTATTCATATTTTATGCATTTCATGTGTGGTACCTTGCTGTCGGCGCTGTCTCTCCAACCCCGGGATCCTTTACCTCCTACATTCTAATTATCAGTATATATATATATAATATATATATTATCAGTATATATATATAATATATATATATTAATATATATATGTATATATTTATTATATATTATGAATGTATACGTTGTAGAGACGTCACCTGATCACGAGTGAGCCGTTGCTCACATCCACACTTTTATATATTTACATTTCTTTGAATTCTTATAATTTGACAGTGAATCCTGGTATTTAGGATCTCTTGTTATCGGAGATCTCTGAGTAATTGTTGTCGTGCTTTTGTTGTCTCCGTTTTAGGAGTTTATAACGCTATTTTAAGAGTGCTTTAGAGATAGTTACCACTTCCAGCCCTCTCTGCTAATATATTATCTGAGTGTATAATTATGAGCATATAATTACATCATTATAACACCCAACAGCTAAAGGGCTTGTACAGTACTTATTTAGCTGGTTACACAGTCGTAGTTCCATAATTTAGCAGCTTTCTGGCTCTTCTACCTGCTGAAAAGAGCTACAAAACTGTTTGAAAAACCAGGCTAACACACTCCATAAGACAGTAACTCCCTCCAAATAGGTGGTAAATATAGGCTAAACAGCGGTACACTTAATACACATATTATACACATATTATACACACTTAATACACATAACCCTTAGGGAACAACATAACCTGATGTTAGAATTGTTACTCCGCAAGCAGCCAGTTAACAATTATCCCTTTCACAAAGTTCACTGTTTGATATCGTAATACCAGATAATTGGACAGCAGGGTTTACACACTGTGTACACATTGTTGCCCTCCCCGTCAGTGTGACATGACAGCGCCAGTGTGAACCGGCCTTTAGCCAGATTGTGTGACATCAAGTTTAACAGCGCCAGTGTGAACCGGCTTTGTGACATCAAGTTTGCTGCTTTGAAAGTTTTTACTGGTTTATGTGACAAAACGTTTACCATGCTTGTGACAGCGTTTCATCGTCACAGTTACACTACATTGTGACAGCGTTTTACCGTCACACTATCGTACTGATGGTGGAGAGTAACCCTGACTCTCTCCAAAGATCGGTAACTACAAACGTCTAGCTGAGAGCTGTGTGAACCCATTAGGAGACCATTAGCAGGCTTTATTAAACAATTTTATTAAAACCGAGTAAATGAGGTTTATAGGCTCACTTTGATCTTGGCCATGTTCTACTTGTGTTTCCCTTTTATTTCCCTTGTGTGGCGGACCGAAAGAAAGGAAGCGCCGGTTTTGAGGAAATTGAGTTCCGGGTGTGTTCTTGGTTGTTGTGATGTTTGGAGTTTAGGAAAAACTTACGGTGTCTTTTTACAAGAGAAAGGGCCATGTACAATTCGGGTTTTGACTATGAATTAGGGTTGGTGACCCTAGCAAGCTACCAGACGAGGTGCTGATCTCGTTTTCTTTTGCGGTGTTGTCTTTTAGCAGAGATTTTACCTTACCAGAGCCTGTAAAGTATCTAGAGAGGTTGAAGGCTGTAACTTTAATACGTTTTATTTGCTGTAACCTTTCAAAATAGACGAATTTACATAGTTCCATTAGTTACTGTTCTTACTAACTTCTTAATTACTGTCTTAGATACTGTCCTTATTAACTGACTAATTATAATTAACTAATTGACTAATTAACTAATTGACTAATTATTGTAGATACAGATGACTTGATGTCCTCCACCTACCCTCACAATGGAAACAACTACAATGAATACAGTCACTTCGCAAATCAGCAAGAGTGGAATAGAGAATCAGCAAGTAAGTTTCCTCTTCATAGTCTCCCCATTTTCATTTTATTTTCATTTTCTGTTAACTTTCTGTTCGTTTGTTTGTTCATTTTCTGTTTCTATTTTGTGTCTGACTGATCGTCCGTTCGTGTGCTTATTTGTTTGTGTGTCCTCCGGCCTGAATGTTTACTTATTACGGTCACGTGCTATAACAATGTCTCGAGTTAAGTGCTACATAATCTTCACATCTTCACATGAGTACTTGACACACTACAAATGACCAGTGGTCACATACCAAATGACCAGTGGTCACATACCGACCATACAGCTCGCTGCCAATACATATTTCTGAGTGGTGACATATAATTACATCATTATAACCACCCAACAACAAGTTAACCTGAGCCACATATTAATACCCATCACGTGACCAGGTTGTCAAGCTCGGCCGGGTACCGTGGATGGTATAATCACATCAAAGCATGTGCTCTGTACTCAACTTACTGAGCTCAGACCGGCTCAAATCTAATGACGCAGTTTAACTGAGGGGAGATCGCGATCGTTCATTTTCTTCATTTTTCCATTTTGGATTCTTGCCACAGGTTTTCCATTGCTAGTTTAAACATTTACCAGGAAACTTCCACCAATTTCATGGTATTTAGGGTAATAAAACAGCCCCCCTGTAAGGAACTGGACACTGGTCCCACCACTCTCTCCAGACATGACATGTATATAATATGTTAGATCCCTAATTGCGCATCTCCCGTTGCATCACTTGGACAGTTAATCTCATAACGGCTGTACCTCAGGACGCTGCTGCTCAACGTCTCTCTTATTGTAAGAACAGGGCTTACGTGTTTCAATTGGGTTATCAGTTTTTTAGTAGTTACTGTGGAGCTTGTTACTGTAGCTAGTTACTATAGTTACTCAGCTAGTTACTATAGTTACTCAGCTAGTTACTATAGTTACTCAGCTAGTTACTATAGTTACTCAGCTAGTTACTATAGTTACTCAGCTAGTTACTATAGTTACTCAGCTAATTACTATAGTTACACAGCTAGTTACTATGGTTACTCCGCTAGTTACGTTACTATAGTTACTCAGCTAGTTACTATAGTTACTCAGCTAGTTACTATATAGTTACTCAGCTAGTTACTATATAGTTACTCAGCTAGTTACTATAGTTACTGTAGCTAGTTACTATAGTTACTGTAGCTAGTTACTATAGTTACTCAGCTAGTTACTATAGTTACTCAGCTAGTTACTATAGTTACTCAGCTAATTACTATAGTTACTCAGCTAGTTACTATGGTTACTCCGCTAGTTACGTTACTATAGTTACTCAGCTAGTTACTATAGTTACTCAGCTAGTTACTATATAGTTACTCAGCTAGTTACTATAGTTACTCAGCTAGTTTCTATAGTTACTCAGCTAGTTACTATAGTTACTCAGCTAGTTTCTATAGTTACTCAGCTAGTTACTAAGCTAGTTACTAAGCTAGTTACTAAGCTAGTTACTATAGTTACTCAGCTAGTTACTATAGTTACTCAGCTAGTTACTATAGTTACTAAGCTAGTTACTAAGCTAGTTACTATAGTTACTCAGTTACTCAGAGGGCTTGCTTTAACCTAGGGAACATGCTCTTGAGACGTCTTCAATTTGCCTTTTTTCTAAAAGAGGGACTACACAGTTATGTGATAGTAATATTGAGTTGAAAGCGGGGGAATTGTTCAAAGCCCGCCAAATTTGGGAACCCATTTCATTTAAGAGCGATGCATCATCACGTTGACACGATTCCGTATTATGTCTGCTATCTTTAAAATTCGAGACCAGCTGTCAAATATTTAATCTACTCTATCTGTCATGTGTTAGACAACGTTTTGAATGACTTACTATTAGATTGCATTGTTGTTCAATGTTCATATTACCTTATCTTGCATTGACTTGGTTACATTCTGTTTAAAGTTTAAATACCCCTTTTCAATTTAACCTATCTTACCAACAATGCCCTATTAGCAGATCTTCACTTTAAATTTGTCATTTTGGCATCATTTCAACATTATAACCTCATAACGATGTGCCCGATATAAATGTGTTGTCTAGTCACAGCCTATCAAGATTCCGATAGTAGCAAGTACTATATTCGTCGGAATTGCGTCAACTAGCTTGGGTGTGTACGAGATTTATAATCGTTTTTCTGATTAATCGGTTCTTTTTATTTTGTACGAGGTTTTACCAATCTTTATAATTGCTTCCTTTTATTTTGTACGAGGTTTTACCAATCTTTTATAATTGCTTCCTTTTAATTTTTACGAGATTGTACCAATCCTTGATAGTGAGTGTGCTTCCTTTTGTGCTTGATCCTGCTAATCATTGATAAGTGTTTTGAGCAAAGCGCCTCCACTCAGCATCACTAATGCACCTCTCTTCTCACACACCCACAGTTACAGGCACACACATACACACGCTCTGCCCTCAAAATACTCCCACATTTAGACACTAAAATTAGGATTCAGACCCGCTCGTTAAGTGAGAGAGGAAGGTTAAATAACGTTAAATATAGCATGTCTAATGATTTATCTCTACCCCTGTCAGAGGGGGGACAAATGACATATTATTATGGGGGACACAACAACTCAGGGGAGAGAGTAACAATATTACTACACTCACTCAGAGTGAGTCAGTTAATCTCATCCATATATTCAGGTAGTCACTAATGAGGTACAATAATCACTATAACAAGGAACAGTCTCGGTAATTAGGTACAATAAGCTGGTATCTGCTCTGGCTACAACTCACCTCCTCTCCTTCTTATTATAATTAGCGCAGCTTTGTGATCAGCATGCAGCTCAGTATTACTGTGGCCTAATTTGTGTACATTTGATCTCTGGTGGGATTGCCTCACAGCAGCAGGCTCCCTCCCCTCACAATACCTCGCTTGCAGTCTGGGGAACTCGGTACCATTGTTATTAGAGCTTTAGAGAGGTATTATGTTCGCTTAGATTGTAACATAATATCGTTATGATCTGCCTATTTCTCTCGAGACACGGTCATGTTATACTATTCACAACTTTGATTTTCGTAATTTTCTCTCTGCTCTCTGGTCGCTTTAATTTTGGGAGCAGTGAATTGTTTTGGGTTACTTAGCTGGGGATAATGTTGAGAGTTTTGTGAGGTTTATGATGGGGGTAAGAGCAGAGCGAGGGTAGAGGCAAGTGAGGGTAGAGGCAAGTGAGGTTTAGAGGCAAGTGAGGTTTAGTGTGAGGTTCGAGAAAAGTTTAGAGTTAGGCGGAGTTTAAAGATAATTAGTATGTTAGACTCTGTGTCGAGTGAAGTTTAGATAAAGTTTAGATAAAGTTTAGGGGAAAGCGAAAGTGATGTTTAGAGCTGGGTGCGATCTATAAGAGTGCAGGTTAAGAGTAGGGTTAGGTTTATGTTATGGTATAGTCAGCACTGTGAGATCTGAATAATGTTTAGTGCTGGGTGAGGCTGGGTGAAGAGAGAGTAATCACTCCTCTCACGTTACAACCAGACATGTCAGACATAATAAAAATTATGAATATTAAATATCAGATATTAATTATTAATTTATGCGGAGAATTATTCAGTCTGATCACGAAGTGGTTAGTGATGGTTTGTTTAATATTTAATATGGTTAATTTGCGGTGTGTGTGCCTCGCAAGCTGAGTAATAATATCGGTTTAATATATTGCACTAGCACTTATTTTGAGTGGTCATTTCTAAATTGTTATGTTTCTCCGTCTGACGCTGAGAGATTTTATATTTTTATTTATATATCCTTCTATGGCTTTTTTTGTTGTTGAAATATTACGCTTTTAACTCAATATAACTTGAATGATCCTTCTAAACATTCGAGCCCTTAGAATTTCTATTTTCTGTAATATTAATAAATAGTGACTTATGTGTTAAGGTGTCTGGCTTCTCTCCAAAGTCTACGGTTATCAAAACCCGGCCCGATCGAGCACAAATCCCACCCTCGCTTGGAACAACCTGGCCCCAAGTATCTTAATAAAGTATTTATCTCGTCCTGGGGCATTACAACCAGAGATTAGATAACCCCAGGTTAATGGCACAAGTGCTTTGATTTCACAATAATAACTAAAAAGCTTCCAAATTCCCTGGCTCTCCTCAATATTTCAATTTGTTGGTTTCGGTTTCATGTTTCACAATTCACATGTTACCAGTCCTGCTCCGCACGCTAACACCAGAGGTTGCATTATTATTTCTACCCGGGCCGCTGTTTTAATCCTATTACCCTGGTGGACACGGTACATGCTAAAGGAAACCCCGTACAATTTATAATGTTATATTCTGTGCGGAGTAAATTTCTACCTCTGCTTCTGATCAACTTCTAATTAACTGACCACTCTGTTCATGTGTTACCATAACTCTTGATACTTTCTAACACGCTGCATATTTCACGTTACTTCCATCGGAATACCTATTACATGCCTGCACATTACATACCTTACCTAGTGACCTACCTTGCATATTTCCCTTTGCTTTATTTGTGATTTGTGGGGCGAACCTATTTTAGATGGTATTTAGGTTGTACGTCCGTAATCTTCAGAAATCAACCACAATTTATCGCATAATATGCAATGGAGGGTAGTAATAAATAATAATGCTACTTATGTTACATCTTTTCAAGTTGAAAAGTTGAAATACCTGTTTCCCGTTTAGATTTTTAACATTCCATTATTACAAGTCTATGTTAATGCCATATTGTTATTGCATTTCCCCAACATTTTTGTTGGGGAAAGAAACAAGACGTTGGCCTGTCCGCAGATCTGTGAAATACAGAGAAAAAAAAACAGATTCTAAGCATCATCCCTTTTTAAACGTTATATTCGCTATAGCTCTCTCAACTAAACTAGTTTCTGAAATATCTGGCAAAGAAAATGGCAGTGAGTGTTCATAATGTTCATCTCCCGCCAGGCATACGTTATTACCACAATTCATTGTCGTCTAGTATCTCTCTCTCTCTCTCTCTCCCTCTGGCGACTAAC